CCACATCAGCCAGGGTTGCACAAGACCAAAGCCAGGAGCCCAGAACTTAATCCAGGTCTCCCATATGAATGGTAGGAACCCATTACCTACTTCCTCCCAGGGTGCACTAACAGGAAGCTGGAATCATGAGTAGAGTCAGGACTTGAACCCAGGCACACTCCAATATGGCTTGTGGTTGTCCCAGCCAGCATCTGAATTACTACTACAAATTACCTCAAAACCTGCTTAGTTTTGAGCATGTCATAAATGATTTTTATCAATATTATTTCAATCATTGAATTATATATGTTCACTAGAGAAATTTTTAAATATATAAAGAAGCAAAATAAATAAAGACAGTTTAAATTTGGCATTAGTGCTGCTCAGTTTCCCTATTGCCAAGAGTAACCACAGAACATAATTTGCAGTGCCCTGTACAAAACAATCTGTCCCCCTTAAGGAAAAATGGATAGCCCAGTGAGAACTGCAACATTGCAAGATTTTTTCTTTCTTTTCCTTTTTTTTTTTTTTTTTTTTTGTTTCTTTTGAAAGGCATAGAGACAGACAGAGATCTTCCATCTGTCGGTTCATTCCCCAAATGCCTGCAGCAGCCAGTGCTGGGCCAAGTGGGAACCAGGAGCCTGAAACTCAATCTAGGTCTCCCAAGTGAGTGGCAGAGACCCAAGTACTAGGCCATTACCTGCGGTCTCCTAGGGCGAGCATTAGCAGGAAGTTGGATGGGAAGCAGAGCTGAGACTCAAACACAGGCACTCTGATATGGAATGCATGAGTCTTCAGCAGCAGCTTAACCACTGTACCAAAGGCTGGCTCCAGTTTGCCAGTTCTTTAACAGAAGTCGTGCTATCACTGTTTTCTCACAAGTGCACAGTCGAATGTTGGGTTTTGAATGAAACATACTGAGTATCAAATGATTCTGACCAATTTGCTCATTTTCAGAAGAGGGTACTATAAAAGCCAGGGAGTTTAAACAACTTGGAAATTATAATTCTCAAGAAGTTAAACCACCCCTCATCAGAGGAAAGGCAGCAAAGCATTTGGAGATTCCTCTATGGATGTAAAGTTTATGTTGTATTTCATAGCATTCCTAAATCTGTTTGTTCATAAATTCAAAGTAATAGAACACAAGTGGCAGCTGCTGCCATCTGTTGGTGATGGGCAGAGTTGGTGCGTTTCTTAGGTGCATAAAATCGTCCATATCTACAAAAGTCCTTGTTGTTCATACCAGGAACTACAGGGTGTGGGGTGCAGGTGGGGAGAAGGAAGGAGGGAGGGAAAGAAGGAACAAAGGAAGGAAGGGAGGGAGAGAGAGAAGGAGGAAGGAACGGAGGGAGGGAGGGAGGGGACAAAGGAAGGAAGGGAGGAAGGAGGGAGGGAGTGGACAAAGGAAGAGAGGAAGGAAGGAAAGGAAAGGATGAAAGGAAGAGTAGGTATCCAGAGCCAACAGAGTAGGTTCAAATCTTGGCTGTGCCTCATCCAAGAAGTGTGACCACTTTCATTCTTGGTTACCTGTTTGTAAAATGGGAGTGATATCTATTTCATAACTATGAAAGAAGCAAGTAACAAATGCGTATTAGTTTGCATAAATGCCATACACTGTTCCAATGCCCTAGCTCAGAGGTGGTTTATTTCTTGCTCATATCACAGATCAATGTGGGTTCTCCTGACCACCAGGCAGCTTTCCCCAAAAGGTGATTGGGAACAAGTTCACTTCATCTTGGGGCTCTAGCATCTTCAACTTGGTCTGTCAAGGTCACCCTGGAACCCAAATCTATCTTGAAGGGTAAGAGGTACTGTTCCCTCTGTCCGTTGTGCTCTTCCTCCAGATATCCTTAGGGCTTGCCCTCTCAATCCTTCATTGCTCTGCTCAGTATTACTTGTTTACACCATTGAGACCTGCAATCTTCCCAGGAAACTTCAACTGCTTTACACATGTCAAGAGCCAGACACTTATTTTCTTAAAACACATCAATTTCTAACATACAGTGGTTAAGACATCACTTGAGATGCCTGCATCCAGTGTTGGAGTGCCTGGGTTCAAGTTCTGGCTCCACTTCTGATTTCACCGTCCTGCTGATGTGCACCTTTGGGGGCAGCTGATAATGGCTCGGGTGGTTGAGTCCTCATCACCAAATGGGAGATGCTGATTGTCTGGGCTTCTGTCTTGTGGCCTGGCCTAGCCTAAGTGTTGTGGGCATTTGGGAAATGAACCAGAAGATGAAAGATCTCTCTGTGTTTCTCTGCTTTTAAATAAATTTTTAAAAAATTAATTCCTAACATACTTAACTATTCTCAATAATAAATGATATGTTTGGTGAAAAAAATAAAAAGGCAATAAAAGAGAGAATGAGAGTTTGCAAAGGAGTTTTTTTATGGGCCAAGCTTGGAAATTGCATATATTACTTCTACATCCATTCCATTGGCCAGAATCCAATGCCATTGTTGCATCTGACTGCTGGAAAGCGTGGGGAGCCTGGTCCAGTAGCTCTGGCACCCATGCCAATTAAAGAATTATTTCAAAGTGGTTATCTTAGCTCCTTCATCACAGTAGATGATCAAAAATGGGATTAGCAATGTGGCACAACAGATTCAGCCACCGCTTGCAATGCTGCCATCCCATATCAGAGTGCTGGTTCAAGTCCCAGCTGCTCCACTTCTGATTCAGCTTCCTGTTAATGTTTCCAGGAAAGCAGCAGAAAATAGCCCAAGTGCTTTGGTCCTTACCACCGATGTGGGAGATCTGGATGAAGTTTCTGGCTCCTGATTTTGACCTGGCCCAGCCCAACTGAGTCCATTTGGGGAATGAACCAGTGGATAAAAAATTCTTTCTCTCTCTCTTTCATCTCTTTCTCTATCTCTATTTCTATCTCTCTCTGTTTCTCTCTCTCTAATAAAAGAATTCATCTTTAAAAATTTTGTGTTGCCACAAATATTTTAAAGATTTTATTTATTATTTGAGAGCAGAGTTACAGATAGAGGGAAAAACAGAGAGAGGTCTTCCATGTGCTGGTTCACTCCCCAAATGTCCCCAACTGCCAGAGCTGGGCCAATCCAAAGCCAAGAGTCCCCAGCTTCTTCTGGGTCTCCCACATGGGTGCAGGAGCCCAAGGACTGGGGCCACCTTCTACTGCTTTCCCAGGCCATAGCAGAGAGCTGTATTGGAAAAAGAGCAGCTGAGACACCAACTGGTGCCAATCTGGGATGCCAACACTGCAGGCAGTGCCTTAGCCCACTATGCTACAGCACCAACCCCTAGCCACAATTTTTAGTAATAGGAACGTAAGCTGCACTACAATGCAGTTGCACACTTTTTATGCATTATGCAATACTACTTGTATTTTTCTCAGCTTTTAGTATGACACACACATGAAACTAAAAGGTAATGTGGTGTGGTGAGAATTGCATGGTCTTGGAGATGCGGCTTCTCATCCTGTGTGATCTCAGGCAAATCACTCAGACAATCTGAACCCCAGTTTCCTTATCTGGAGAATGAGGTCTCTGTGTAGTCTCCCCTCACCCTCACCTCCCCAGCTCTAAAGATATTTGTAGGGGCTGGTGTTGTGTTGTAGCATAGTGGGTAAGGCTGTCACCTGCAACCTCAGCATCTCATATAGGCCCTGGTTCTAGTTCTGGCTGCTCTCTTCTGATCTAGCTCCCTGCTCATGGCCTGGAAAACAGAAGAAGATGGTCCAAGTACTTAGGCACCTGCCATTCATGTGAGAGACCCAGATGAAGCACCTGGCTCCTGGCTTTGGACTGGCCCAGCCCTGGCTGTTGCGGCCATCTGAAGAGTGAACCAGCAGGTGGAAGATATTCTCTCTCTCTCTCTCTCTCTGTAGTTCTGATTTTCAAATGATAAATAAATCTTTAAAGCTATCTGTATAGAAGCAATGCAAAAAAACAGAACATGAAGTGACTCTCAAAGCAGACAAATGATAGAGCGGAAGTCTTGGATGGGCTTTGGTGAGGAAGATGTTTGAGAGAATCACTTTCTAGCACAATTTTGGAGGAGTTGATGGTCCTGAACAGTGGGAGTGAGGTACAGAATGCTATGCAGGAACGCCATGAAAAGGGTCATAATCAAGAAGAATTTGCAGGAGGGAGCAATGTAAAGAGAAAGCTTGCATGGGACCAGCGCCGTGGCTCACTTGGCTAATCCTCCGCCTGAGGCACCGGCATCCCATATGGGCACCGGGTTCTAGTCTTGGCTGCTCCTCTTCTAGTCCGGCTCTCTGCTGTGGCCCAGGAGGGCAGTGGAGGATGACCCAAGTGCTTGGGCCCCTGCACCCACATGGGAGACTGAGAGGAAGCACCTGGCTCCTGGGTTCGGATTGGTGTAGTTCCAGCTGTGGCAGCCATTTGGGGAGTGAACCAACAGAAGGAAGATCTTTCTCTCTGTCTCTCTCTCTCACTGTCTGTAACTCTACCTCTCAAATAAATAAATAAATTTTTTTTTAAAAAAAGAGAAAGCTTGCTTAAAAAGGGAGTATGTTGGGATGGAGGGGGAATAAAAATGTTGATGATAGGCTCCCAGGAGTATGGGATCATATTTAATCCAAAGGGATCCCAATTATGAACATCATCCAAATCTGGTCACTATGAGAAGAAACACATTTAGGTTATAGTACTTGACATGACAGTACATTTTATTAAATGGCTGCTCTTCTAAAGTCTTCTGGCTCCATAAAAAAAATCTTCCAAATGCCAAAGTTATCTGAATTTTATCTCCATTTCAAGGAAAAAGAATGAGTTTTGTGTGGTAATGGAGAAAAAGTGATGCTGTGGGAAGAATCAAATCGCTCACAGTGAAATAGAGCCCTTATTTCTCTGCTTTATTTTGTTTTATTTTTTAATCAGAGGGTAAATATGTAGGTAAGACATGAGTCAGAGCAAACTCAGAAAGTACCTAGAAGCCTTTGGCATTTGAAGCATGCTAGCTAGTTTCACGTGGGTGAAGGATGGTTTTCAAGAAGACAAACTGAAAATAGAACTTGTTTGTTTAGATTCTGCCATTCTCTGGGAGACTTACAAGGATGTTCGAGGAACTGTGAGGGAGAAGAGTTTCTTCTTGGGAACTGCTATTAAGCGCCGTGTACGGAGAGAACGTGGCCCCACACCGGATGGTGAGCATCTTACCCTTGTTCTCTGGACCAAGTCCGGGAGACAGTGTCTTTGTTGTGGTCAGCACAAACAAAAGTCCAGTCCAATCCTCAAACCAGGTTCCCAAGAAAGGTCTGTGTTGCACCCTGAGAAATTTGCACACTCTGGATCACCTGTAGGAAAGCTGCTGGGTGCCGCCCTCTGCTCTCCTCCAACCCCAGGACACCTCTGGGAAGCCGCATTTTGGTTTGCTTTTAAGGAAAGGTTTCCTTCTAGATTGATATTACTATGTGTTAATTTATTTACACAAATGAAATACTCTGTGACTAAATAACCACATGACTTTGGCATGTCCCAGGTCCTTACAGGGCATCAGACTTCAGTTTTTCTTCCCTGTAAAATATAGGGATTTGGTCATATAATCGCAAGGCCTCTTTCTAATCTAAAATTATGAATTCTAATACCAAAACTTCCTCTTTCTGGTGAAGTAACATGAAGTTTGAGGTTGTTTTATCAACTTATTCAAAATTTCTAGTGCTCTTAAAATATTAGAGGAAAACATTAGCAGACCATTGAACACCTACTGAGAGAAGAACCCTCCAGTGAGCACAATATCACTTTGATTGGATACTGAGCTCAGAGCTATTTCCCTCCCACTCCTAAGAGACGGAAGCTGCTGTTCAATCCAGTACACGTCTTAGAAGCACCAGTATTTTTTTGTGGCTTTACGATAGATTCTCTGTGTGCTCCTCAAGTTTGGCAGCATGAAAGGGCTTCAAAAAGTTAATGGGAAAATGGAATTAAAAGATAAGTTTATTTTGGTGCAAAAAATCTTGGAAGCCATACATCGCTTTTTGATAATGTGCATTCTCCACAGATATTTGAAGAATTCTTATAGCTTATTTCCCATCTATTCTTATTCCTCATCCAAAGTCAATATTTTTACATGGGTTCTATTTCTCTCTCAGAAGATAACCTCCTCCAAAGAAGGTCTAGGGGTGGGTGTTTGGCTCAGTGGTTAAGTTGCTGCTTGGGACACCCACATCTGTATTGGAGTGTGCAGGTTCAAGTGCCAGCTCTGCTTCTGATTCCAGCTTCTTGTTAATGTGTACCGTGGGAAGTAGCATGCTGGCTCAAGTACTGGAATCTCTGCCATCTGTGCGGAAGACCTGGAATGAGTTCTAGGCTCCTAGATTTGGCCTGGCTCATCCCCAACTGTTGTGGGCATTTGGAGAGTTAAACGATGATGAAATAATTGGAAGGAAAATCATTCTCTCTCTCTCTCTCTCTCTCTCTCTCTCTCTCAAATAAATAAAAATAAAGAAGAGCCACATCCTAAATAGAGCAATTTTATATGCAGTGTCCAGGACAGAGTATGTGATCATAATGTGATGAGAGAGCTAGAAAAATATAGAAGTTTACAATTGGGAGAGATTTTAGAGCAGCACTATCCAATATGTAGCCATTAACCACTTATGGTTATTTAAATTAGTGAGAATTAAGTTAAATCTAAAATTCGTTCCTTAGTCACACAAATGTTTAGTAGGCCCATGTGGCTCACGACCACCATGTTGGATACACAGACACAGAACATTTCCACCACTACACAAAGCTGAATAGGGCAGTGCTGCTCCAGAATCTCTCCCAATTTTGAACTTCTGTGATATTTTTCTGAGAGGTCAGCTAGTCATATAATCACATTCATGAGCAATAACCAAGAACTTGGAAGTCACTTAACACAATCTTCTATCCAGGATGGTTCAAATATTTCTGCTACCATAGAATTTATCACCTTATAAAATGGCCCATTCCACTTTTGGAAAACTTCATACCAGAGATTTCTTTCTTAAATGGGGTCAAAATCCATATCCCTGTAACTTCTGCCCTCCCTATATGTGTACACATGATGAACATCACAGTTCTACCACCAGGAACTTCATCAGAGTGTCCATACCAGCTACTTTGTCTCCGCTTAGACTCCTCTTTCCCACTAATCTGAGCACAGGCAAGGGGCCTGGAGCCTACAAGAGTTCACAGTCCTGCCTGGAGATTCTGTGACACAGCTAAGGCTGAGCCAGGCCTTCCTGTTGAGGTGTTCCAGTCAAGACTTGCTGTGTTCAAGTCTGGCAACTGATTCCTTAAAAATGTGCACACATCAGTTTGCAGAAGTGAGGTCCTTGGTATTTTTCTTTGCATTTTGTTGTTGTCTCATTGATTTATTCTATTTTTGCACTGCATGCTTCCTAAGAGATTCTAGACTATTTCTTCCCCAGCAGAGCAGAGATTACTCAGACTCTGCACAAACAGTTCAGAACATAAAAAAATTGCCCTCACCATACCCCCAAATAACCCCAAGTTCCAATGATAGAAATCCCCAAATGGCTTACTTTAGTTGACCCTTCAAAAGCAGTTGAGTAAAAGAGGAACCTAGAAGCACTAAAAATCAAAGAAGTCCTCCCAAATGGTCTAGAAGAGAGGATGCTGTTAACATATTCAGTAAGAGGGCCGGCACTGTGGCTCACTTGGTTAATCCTACACCTGCAGCGCCGCTGGCATCCCATAGGGGCGCCAGTTATAGTCCCGGTTGCTCCTCTTCCAGTTCAGCTCTCTGTTGTGGCCCAGGAGAGCAGTGGAGGATGGCCCAAGTGCTTGGGCCCTGCACTCGCATGGAAGACCAGGAGGAAGCACCTGGTTCCTGGCTTCAAATCGGCACAGTGCTGGCCGTAGCAGCCATTAGGGGAGTGAACCAATGAAAGGAAGAACTTTCTCTCTGTCTCTCTCTCTCACTGTCTATAACTCTACCTGCCAAAAAAAAAAAAAAAAAAAAAAAAAATTCAGTAAGAAAGTGCATCTAGTTCTCCACATGGGCTAGTGGAGACTTCCCAGGCGAGAATTAAGTGCTAGTTACAGCTCCAGGACTGTCCAACAAGTGCTCACTGAAGGGTGGAGTTGGTGCTGGGGCAACAAAGGTGCTTGAAGCATGGTGTTTACCCTCCAGCCACTGGCAGGGAGGCACATATGAATTAATTAACAGTCAATTACTAACATCCCTAGAGGGCTCCACTGAGCACTGCAGTGGGTGTGTTTCAAAGGACCCAGCAGATCAGTCTTGGAGATGGAGCAGCGACAGCAAAGCAACTCCTGAGTAACTAAATAAGGGGAGCCAGGCTTCCTTGGGTTGGGGATGGGGAGGATTCTTACCAAACTAGCCTGGGTCCAGCAGGGTATCCGGTATTGTGTGAATAGTTATCTTCTCTACCAGCAACAAATCTGGCACTTGATTCATTTCATCAACTTTAGCATACAGTCAGAAATAATGCTCTCACTGGTGCAGAACTGTCTTCCTTTCACACAATCACCAGCCTGTACCACCAGCAACTCCCCTTTACATCCAGTACAGTGCTGGAGCTACGGTTGGCTGTACCTACACATGCACAATACATATTTATTTAGAATTACTTTAAGCACATATGTTTATGCAAATATACATTGGTATGATATTATGTATATTTTACATGTTAATATTCGAAAATACATAAATATACATTTATATAAGGCATATTGCTAGTTGTGTATACTTACATAATATTTTGTGTAACAATGCTTGTATATTTGTATAAATATTTATGGGTGTGTGTGTGTGTGTGTGTGTATATATATATATATATATAGTGACATTTCTGGAAGGATACATACCAATTTTTTGCCTTGGGAGGGTACTAATGGAGACCTTGCAACTAATGTAGGGAAGAACACATGTATTTCATTTTATAGCCATTATATATTTTAAATTTTACTCTATTGCTTTTAGAACAACAAAGCATTTTTATAAATAACTGGTTATACTAAGGACACCAACATCTATCTTCCCTTTCTAGGTGAGCTCCAAAGGGCAAACAGAGTTAAAAGACCTTGTTCCAATCTGGGCTCATTTGGGTCCCTTACCTTAGACTGTTCAAGTTAATGTGGTTTTTCCACAGTTACTGATAGGAGTTAACTCATCCCAAATGAGATGATGTGTGTGACTATGTGGCCGTGCTTTGTAGACTCAAACTCCTACCTGTAGGTACATAGCACAGGCTTGTTGGAGAGTGCTCATAACTGCCCAACCTGACTCAAGTCACCTGGATCCTGGTCCACTTCACTAGCCTTTTATTGAAAAGAAATGAGAGGAGATTGCAGTACAGCCTAAGGTAGGAGAAAGTAGGGCAGGAAGCCTCTGGAATCTGGGTCTCCTGTGGAGAGAGGCTTCTCTCTGCCATGAGACCTGAGCTGCCATAACTTTCCTCTGTTCTTAGCTGATGAATGAATAGTGGCATAGCGGGTAAAGGCACTGCCTGAGATGCTGGCATCCCATATGGGCACCAGTTCAAGTACTTGCTGCTCCACTTCCAATCCAGCTTCCTGCTAATGTACCTAGGAAAGCAGTGGAGAATGGCCCAAATGCTTGGGCCCCTGCCCTCACGTGGGAGACCCAGATGAACTCCTGGCTCCTGGCTCCTGGCTTCAGCCTGGCCCAGCCCCGGCTTTTGCAGCCTTTTGGGGAGTGAACCAGCAGATGTAAGATCTTTATGTATTTCTTTCTGTCTCTGTCTCTGTCTGTCTCTCTCTGTCTCTCCGTAACTCTGCCTTTCAAATAAATAAAAAAATCTTATCTTTTTTTAAAAAATGAATAAAAAATAGAACCGCTGAGCAAGGTCCAGTTATAAATGGCATTGTGGAGTGAGCCAAGGATTGTAGAATCTGCCCAGTGACCAGTAAGGGGCAAGGGAAGATGAGAATGAGTTCTTTTGATTTTCTATTTCTTGTGAAGGAAAAGGTGTAGGGTATGGTTGCTTACTTTTAATGGGTTAATAATTTATTCATAATAAGAACCTTTATTGCCTACTTACTTCATTGTGAAGTAGAATTTGTCATTTATATTCTATTTTTTGAAAATAATTGATTGGTCACTCATTGTAATTAGGCATAAAATAAGGAAATAAACAGATTTACTTGCAATCAAAATCCCAAGTGTGATAAGCTGGTGAAAGCTATTGATTTCTCTCCTATAAAATTATAAATACAGGGATAGGCATTTAAATGCTACTTGGGTTAAAACCCTGCTTGGGATGCCTGAATCTCATATCAGAGTGCCTGATTGGAGTCCTGGCTATGCCACTTCTGATCTAGCTTCCTGCTAATGTGTGCTTTGGAGGGCAGAGGATGAGTGCTGAAGTACTTGGATTCCTGCCAAAAATATTTGTGGGAGACTCTCATGGAGTTCCAGGCTCTTGGCTTTGGCCTGGCCAATCCCTGGCTGTTGCAAGCATTTGGTAAGTAAAACAGCAGATAGAAGATCTCTGCCTGTCTCTCTGCTTTTCAAACAAAATGAAAAATAAATTAATAATGTTAAAATATAGAAATACAAAGAGGCCGGCGCCGTGGCTCACTAGGCTAATCCTCTGCCTTGAGGCGCCGGCACACCGGGTTCTAGTCCCTGTCGGGGCGCAGGATTCTGTCCCAGTTGCCCCTCTTCCAGGCCAGCTCTCTGCTGTGGCCAGGGAGTGCAGTGGAGGATGGCCAAGTACTTGGGCCCTGCACCCCATGGGAGACCAGGAGAAGTACCTGGCTCCTGCCATCGGATCAGTGCGGTGCGCCGGCCGCAGCGGCCATTGGAGGGTGAACCAACGGCAAAGGAAGACCTTTCTCTCTGTCTCTCTCTCTCACTGTCCACTCTGCCTGTAAAAAAAAAAAAGAAAGAAAGAAAGAAATACAAAATATTGCATATAACTTGTAGAACTCTAACAAATTCCTGAGTTCAAAGGCTATATAGACATTCGAATGACAGTTTTGTTTTGACAGTTTTGGGGGTTTTCAAGGAAATTATGTGCAGTCATTGGGATTCACCTAAAACCTTATATCAAGGTCAAAAGAATGAATTCAAAATCTTATTTCAAAGTCTGAGATCATCTCCCTAATGCAGAGTGAAATTTTGAGTTGTCACAAAGTCTTCTTGAGCAAAAGAAATCTATGGCGAAGTAGAGTGGACCTTATTTAATCTAGGTCATTAAACTAGTTTAGGATACCCAAATAGGAAGTAAAAGAAGAGAATAATCCTATAAAATAAAGTGAAAACAATTCCACCAAATGTCAAATTTTCAAAGACTTTTCCCACTGCTGCCACAGTAAATGTTGAAATGAGTCCATACATAGAGACGTCTCCATTTTTAAGGCTTGCCAGCTTTCAGAGTATAGTGTGGTGCCTTTATTGGTTTATTAGCCTAAGAAACTCCGAAATTGATCCTTTCACACATGGAATGGGTATAAAACCTTTTAAAAATGCATTCACTATGCTTTCTTACGTGACCCTCAGGAGGTGGAGGGAGTAGCTTGGAACTTTTTGTGCAGGAGAGGAAAGAAAAAAATTCGTTGTCAGCGTCTGAAAAACCAAAATCAAAACAGGAATTTGTTGTTATTGAGGTGATGCGACCTGGTTTCAGTGAAAACTAAAACAGTTTTCCTAAACACCGTTACCCTGTTTGCACCGGAAGAGTCCGCTCTGTGACTTGATCAGGAAGCCTGGAGCAAAAGAAGGAGAATTCATTAGAAAGTTGGAGGAATGTGGAAAGAAGCTGTGAAATGGTGTGAACGGAGGAGGAGAGGCTGGGGTCCCAGAGGGGCCCCTTGTGCTAGATGAGCTGAGCATCCCCCACCTGTCTGTGACCACGGGTGGAGACGGGCTTGCAGTACACGCTGAGCTACTGAGCGCTGAGGCAGACAGTCTGAGCTAACCCTCTTCAGCTGCCCTTGGCAGGCTGACAGCACAGTGCTCAGAAGCTCCCACTGGCAGGCAAAGGGCTGCACAAAAAGATGCTGATGGCATTGACTGTCCAACTGGGCAGAAACTGCTGGACTGGAGCAAAAATGCTCTGAAGCCAAGTTGCAGGCAACCTTCAGAGGCCAAGCCCCCAGGGAGAAGCCGTGCCATCAGACCACCAGGAGAGAGCACACACCAGCCCCAGCAGCCTCGGACCTCAGGAGCAGGCACCAACGACATACCTCCAGCAGCAGCAGCATAGCCAGATCTCAGAGGACACCAGCCGGGTTCATGGCCAGGGGTGCCCTGTCTGCCCGTCACTGTATCACCAGAGCATCTCTCTCATGCAACCCAAAAAGGAGAGAATTCTGAGAGTCTGAGCATTTCCCCAAGGACTGAATCACACAAAGAAACCCTTAAATGAGCTCAGATTAATGATATGATATTTAAACAGATTGAATCTTAAACTAAAAGGATGCTTTTTTTTTTTTTTTGATAGGCAGAGTGGACAGTGAGAGAGAGAGACAGAGAGAAAGGTCTTCCTGTGCCATTGGTTCACCCTCCAATGGCTGCCGCGGCCGGCGCGCTGCGGCTGGTGCACCACGCTGATCCGACGGCAGGAGCCAGGTACTTATCCTGGTCTCCCATGGGGTGCAGAGCCCAAGCACCTGGGCCATCCTCCACTGCACTCCCTGGCCACAGCAGAGAGCTCTTTTTTTTTTTTTTTTAAGATTTTATTTATTTATTTGAGAAGTAGAGCTACAGAGAGGGAGAGACAGAGAGAAAAGTATTCCACCTGCTGGTTCAATCCCAAAGTGGTCCCAACGGCTGGAGCTGAGCTAATCTGAAGCCAGGAGCCAGGAGCTTCCTCTGGGCCACCCACGCGGGTGCAGGGGCCCAAGGACTTAGGCCATCTTCCACTGCTTTCCCAGGCCATAGCAGAGAGCTGGATCAGAAGAACAGCAGAACACAAACCAGAGCCCGTATGGGATGCTGACCCCATAAGGAGAGGCTTAGCCCACTACGCCAAAAGGATACTCTTAAAATAACGAGTTATTCTTTGATGCGTCTAAATGTCCCTTCCCTTCCTGCAGAATGGGGACTCGCCAGGAGGAGGGTGAAATCTGCAGTAAGAAACAAAGAAGCTACATTTTCTTTGCACGTGTAAGTGTACCATAAGTGAACTGGGCACCCTGCTATATTTTTTGTTATACAATTCTACCACAAATTTCAAATTGCATCTTTTTTTTTTTTTTTTTTTTTTTGACAGGCAGAGTTAGACAGTGAGAGAGAGACAGAGAGAAAGGTCTTCCTTCTGTTGGTTCACCCTCCAAATGGCCGGCACGGCCAGTGTACTGTGCCAATCCGAAGCCAGGAGCCAGGTGCCTCCTCCTGGTCTCTCATGCAGGTACAGGGCCCAAGGACTTGGGCCATCCTCCACTGCACTCCCGGGCCACAGCAGAGAGCTGGACTGGAAGAGGAGCAACCGGGACAGAATCCGGTGCCCCGATCGGGACTAGAACCCAGGGTGCCGGCGCCACAGGCGGAGGATTAGCCTAGTGAGCCGCGGCACCAGCCCAAATTATCTTTTTTAAAAATTTGTTTATATGCGAGGCAGACAGACAAGGGGCCGAAGCCAGGAGCTGAGAAGTCACCACTGCCTCTCAGCGCGTGCATCAGCCGGAAGCTGTTGTAGGGAGCCAGAGCCGGGAATCTCACCCAGGCACTCCATGATGAGATGCATGGGTCTTCACTGCTAAGCTAAATGCCTTCCCGCAAAATCCAGCTCTAAACTGGCAAGGTTTATAATTTTAAATAAAATGGGAAAATGTCATTTTTAATGTTTACTAAATCGTTGACCTTTTTATTATCACATATGTTGTGTGTGGGAATATGTGGGTGACACACATGGATGTGTGTATGTGTGTGATATACACATGGATACATCTTAATATTTTCTATTTCCTTTTTTTGTTACATTTCCTGTGTGCTGAGTAGGCTATTTATTCTTCTTAGTGATGCAATGGGTTAACAAGATAATGTATCAGGAAGGAAATCTTTTAAGGTAGAGGGACCTTGACACTACCTTTTGTTTCAGTTTGATTAAACAGATGGAATTCCACGCAGTGGAAAGTTGTGAAGGCGGCCACCTGTAGCACATGCACCAGCAGTGAGCAAAGTGGTGGGAAGTCAGTGAAGAGAGAGGCGGCAGGATGACTTCTAGCTTCTAACCCTGGACCAACAATCTGTGCTGTGAGGAGCCTTCCTGTTCAAAATCCAGGTTCTTACCCCTCAGAACAAGTGCCGTTTTCTCTTGTGACATGCTAAGGTTCCTAACCATCAGAGAAAGGAGTGGGTGAGTGCCTGGAAAACGACTCCTACACCCCCTGAGCATTTTTCTCAAACAGTAACTATTTTGTGAAGGTGAAGCAAGCACTGGGAACCTACAGTAAATGTAGGGGCTTTTTTTCTGAATAAAAGCGCCTGAAGTGCTTGATAAAGATTATTCTTCATTTTGTACAGAAACATTATGGAGATATCAAAAGTCAACCAAAAAATTTAAGCGTAATATTTTGGAAAGTTTGGCATGACCTAATTTGAGTTAACTGGAAATATTTCTAATTAAAGATAAATATGTTTGAAATGACAGATTGCTTCCAGGACACTTTCTTTCCAACTAAATCTTGTAATGTTGAAACGAGAATTAATGAAAAACAGTAATATGAAGATCCAAATTTAACTTGTGTCTTCACTTATGAAAAGGATGCAAATCTTGCCAGTTTAACCAGAATTTATTTTTTTCTGCTCTATTGTATTTTTATATTACACAGAATTGGAGAAATTACCAGAGTTACAGTAAATATTCTAACATCACATTAGGTTTAAATACATTATTTCAAGTGAGGGAAAAAGTCCCATTCAGTGAACAGGAAACAGGCTTAGCATGTGAAATGTGTTCCATTTACACATGAAACAGTCAAGAAGAGCGTCCACCTCAAGTACAATGCAAAATTTTGATTTGGGGGCACTGAAAGCTTGTACCTCTATTGTTGTCTTTGACTCCCTATTGTTTCTTTTATTTGGAGGCCCAAGTAGCTGCAGCCATAGGAAAGGCTTGATGAGTGCCATCACACATCTCACCAGAATCAGCAAGCTATCAGCAACGGCAACCACTCACAAGGAAACCACTTCAAAAACATAGGTCAGTGCTCGCCAGGGGGCAGGCTGACAGCAAAGCACCAGGTAGAAGAAAAATCACTTCCAAATAGGGCGATGCTTAGGAAAAAATGCTGTCAAGGAAGGGAAGCCAAAAAACTCTATGGTCTGGGGGAAATGCAGAATTTATAGAACTGGCCACCTAGGTTCCAATCCCAGCTGGGAAAAGGCAGTTCTCTGCACCTCTGTCTTCTGGAGAAAGTGACAATATAGGTATATGTAGCTTATAAGATTGTTATGTGTATTAAGTAAAAAGAGGCGAGTTCTAAGACTTTAGGGAGACCGGTTAAATCCCTACTTAAAAGTGAGGAATACACACAAGCTGTTCTAATGCTTTGACATAGTCATCTGCTTGGCTCCAAGTGCACACATGATGTCCATGGGCCTCCCAGGCCGGGTGAGCATGCACCTGTACAGCCATTTAGTCCCCATCTCAGACAGTTTCTAGAAGCCTCTCATCTCTAGGTATTCTTACCCCACCCCTCATGATAATTCAGATAATCCAGATGAATCCTCTGAGCTGTATCCATTTATGGTTATGTTCTGCTCATCCAGAGAAAACCAAATGTTTTTGAATCATTTCTAGATTTAGATTCAACAATAATTTCAGAATCCTCATGTTCCAGACTTTAATTCTCCTCACCTCCTTTTCACACTTAATAACCACAGAACAGTAAATACAGTAACTGTGAAAGGTTGCTATATACCAAGCACTGTGCTAGGCCCTTATGTATAATATCCTTCCAACAACTCAGAGACATGTGCATTTATTTCTTTGTAGCAAGAACCATCTCTTCTGAGACAGTGTCCTTAAAGAACTGGGACTCCTGTAGAAGTGGGCTTCCTGTATGTTCCTGTTCTGCAGGCCTGAAGCTTCCCCGCTGCAGGGTCCACTTAGGCCTTCACCTTCAGAACCCCGTGAGTTATTCTGTTCCCCATGTACTATGGCTGTACTTTCCATGCATCTCCCCAAAGTCTGGCATGACAGAATCCCGTTGGCCCAATTCCAGGCCTTCCTGTCATCACAGAGGGTCATCTGACCCCTCTTAGCCAAGAGCTCCTAGGCAAGGCCTTGCAAAATCCTCTTGACTCTCTTATCCCTAACCATGCATTTTTCATTCAAATGACATTATTGATTACACACCTCTCTACCACAGTTGAATCTCTCTCTCTACCAAATCCTTCACATAAAATAATCTCTCTCAAGCTCATCCCAATGTTTAGATATCATGGTCGAGGTGTTGACTGAGGTTCAGAGATGTCAAAGAGCTTTACCTAAGATGATTCAGCTAGTTAAAGCTGGGAAAAGGACCTAGATCTTCTGACTTCAAGTTCAGAACTTGCTATGATGTTCTGCTGCCTAATCTTGTCAATTCTTAATTCCTCATTCATTTCTAGGAATGACAGAAAGTGTCCTTTCTTATCTCATTTAAATACTTAGGTGCAGGCTAAACGCCTCATATCAGAGCAACTAGATTTGCTAACTAGTTTGCTGCAACTCCCTAACCTCCTGCTAATGCAGTCCTAAGAGGCAGCAGGTGATGGCTCAAGGAGCTGGCTTCCTGCCTCCCAAGTAGCAGACTCAAACTGAGTCCCTGGTTTCCAGCTTCAGCCCTGTTCCAGTCCTGTTGTGGGCATTTGGGGAGTGAACCAATGGATAAGTGCTTTCTCTTTTTGCTCCTTTCTCCCCATCCCCCTCCATCACTTTGCCTCTCAAAAGAATAAATGGAATTTTTCTTTAACAAAAATTAATTAATGGGGGCCAGCACTGTGGTGTAGCAGATTAAGCACTGCCTGCATCCCCAGCATCCCATGTGGGCACCAGTTTGAGTCTCAGCTGCTCCTCTTCTGATCCAGCTCCCTGCTAATGCTCCTTGGGAAGCAGAGAAGGATGGCTGAAGCACTTGGGCCCCTGTACCCATGTGGTAGACCCAAATGAAGCTCCTGACACCTGGCTTCAGCCTGGCCCAGTCCTGGCTGTTGTGGCCATTTGGGGAGTGAACCAGTGGGTAGAAGATCTCTCTCTTTCTCTCTTTCTCTTTCTCTCTCTCTCTAATTCTACCTTTCAAATAAATCTTTTTTAAAAATACTAAATAAATCACTTCTGTGGAAAAATGTGTATTCATAAATAGTAACAGCAAATTTTCAAATGTTGAATGCTAAGGAACATCAAGTACTTAAAACATTTTAAAAGGAATGATTCACTATCATTACTAAGAAACTGTACAATGGGGATGATTCACTGTGGACAGTTTAAACAATACTTTGAAACAACTATGTACAAATCATAAATTGTTTTAAAAAATGAGAGAGAGAGAAAAGAAAAACCCTCTGTGGTTACTTTTCTTACAACTGAATATCATTTTACTAGAAAAGGGGTTGGCCAACAATTGATTCATCTTGGATGGATGCCATTTTTTGTTTCACATTTTTTTTTAAAAAACCTATGGTTCATTTGAACAATTTCTTGTCCCCTTTTCCTTCTTCTCTGCTCTTTCTCATCCCTTTACTCTTTCTCTACCTCCTCCTCCCTTCTCTTATTGTTGCTTTTTTGAGGGAGTGTTAAATTTAGTTTGTACAAAGAAATCATATATTGTGCTACAAAATTAATATCAGAAAAATTTTATATTTCACTTCACTTGTTCTTTCTGCTTGCCTACAAATAGTTCCTATTATTTTTCTCCAAGGGAGATAAACATATTAGAATTATCTGCCCCTGAGGAAGAATGGGAATAGGAATGTTATGATGAGATGTCATGAACTCAGTCTTCAGGGAAATTTCCAAACTTGTGTGGGATGGCAGATTGATCAGGATTCTCCAAAGAAACAGAATCCACAGGAGACGGATGACAGATAGTTGGAGAGAGAGAGACAGAGAGAGGGAGAAGGAGAGAAAGAGTTTAAAGGGTTGACTCACACGCAATTGTAGAGGTTGGAAGGGTCAACATCTGCAAGATAGCATGAAAGCCAGACACGCAGGGAAGATGCAAGGCTGCAGTTCCAGTCTGAAGGCAGCCTACTGGCAGAATAACATCTTCTTCAGGAAAAATCGGTCTGTTTCTATTAAAGCCTTTAAGTTGATTGGATGAGGCACGCTCACGTTATTGAGGGTAATCTGTTTTACTAAAATGTTTGCTGACAAGTTTTCTTCTTAAGAGTTTTTTTTTAAAACAGTATAGAAACATCTAGAATACTGTTTGAATGAAGATGTAGGTACCCTGGCCTAGCCAAATTGACACATGAAATTGACCATCATAGATGGCCAGTTAGTCCCTGTAAGAGGTCATTGCCACATATCCCATTTTCAACCTTGTCAGAATAAGTAGCCTAGTCCCATAGTAAACTGTGCCAAACACACCTCTCTCCTCTCTCTGGCTTAGCCAAGATTTTTTAAGGTCTTTTACAAACTAAAACCTAGTCCCTTACATTGGAGGGATTTAGAAAGGAAATTGTTGCCTCCTAATGGTCTCCATTGTGAAACAGTTGGTTTTGTGCTTCTTGCAATGTTAGCCACTGAAGTGCAACCAGCTTGTGTGGTTTTGTGGGTAAGGGCTGGCCCATATGCCAAAGCCCATGATTCCAATCACTGTCCGTTAGTGTCACAACTTGGCCAGAGCAGCCTTCTTGCTCTTGTCTGGGATTAACCAGTCCCCCAGCACTTTAAGCCACTCTAGTTTCAAACTGGGGCACAATAGAAATGTCCAGTCCCTAGAAATCCATAGCAAAGACCCATCTGTCCATTATCCCCATAATTTTCTTGAATCACCATTACCGAGGGGCTCATGTGGCTCCTCCCTGGGTCACCTGAGAAGGTAGGTCATGCACTCTGATGTTCTTGGGTTTTCTCATCTCTGCTTTCATATTTGCGAAGTATCTACTCAGTTAGGCTTTTAAGGGAGGTACAAAGACCTGCCCATCAGTCCCATACTCATCTCTGCCCACTGCTTCTGGGCCTTCTCCTTCCCTCTGTTCCTCTAATGGAAAAAGGAGTCTTGAGCTTTTTTATATTCTCCATGACACTTTACTTAGGTGGCCCTGAATTGCACAAAATTGGAATAATTGGTTCACTGTATATTTCATAAACTGGTTTCATGCATGTCCACCTTTTACTTTCAGTTGCTCATTTATTGAATAAGTCATAATGAGCATCACGAAACCACTACCAGACCCAGGAACTAAAACATTGCCAACGACTTACACCTACCATTGTGCTTTCCTCTATCCTGCTTCTCTCCTCTCCCCTACAGGTAATTATGATTCTGAACGTCCACTATCCTCTCTCTCTCTCTCTCTCTCTCTCTCTCTCTCTCTCTCTCTCTCTTTCTCTTTCTCACACACACACACATACACACACACATACACACACACAGCTTTTTCACACATATAGGCTTAGGTGTACTAAAGCCAATGCACACAAGTTCAACAAAGCCATTTCCACATTGGTGATATCATGACAGTGACTTGAAATCAGCCATGATGGGAGGCTGTACAGCAGGAAATTAGCAGGAAGTATGATACCACAGAGCCTCTCCCCCAGAGACCAGTTATTAACCATTTACCAGCACACCACTGTATGAATGTTCCTAAACAAAGCATGGTTGCCTCTTTGGTTGACCTGCTATATTCTCACTACTTAGATAATGCCCAGTGCATAGTAGACACAAATTCATTTAACATGTGAATGAATATCCTTCTGTATTCCTAGGTCAGCAAGTCCCATGACCAAATGGAAGGCATCTTCCCTGCCTCCAGAAAAAATTCTATCATTTGAAATGAAGGAAATTCCATCTCTTTCAATAAAGTCTAGGTTTAGCAATTATTGTCTGCCATCTGGAACTCACATTAGATGTTACAAGCTGAATATTAGTGCTTCTGTTCTCTTTGCATTCTCACAGAAGCCATTCTTTTTTTAAAAACTTTTATTTAATAAATATAAATTTCCAAAGTACAGCTTTTGGATTACACTGGCTTTTCCCCCCATAACCTCCCTCCCACCTATAACCATCCCATCTCCCACTCCCTCTCCCATTCCATTCACATCAAGATTCATTTTCAATTATCTTTATATACAGAAGATCAATTTAGTATATACTAAGTAAAGATTTCAACAGTTTGCACCCACACAGAAACACAAAGTGTAAAGTACTGTTTGAGTACTAGTTATACCGTTAATTTGCATAGTACAACACATTAAGGACAGAGAACCTACATGGGGAGTAAGTGCACAGTGACTCCTATTGTTGATTTAACAATTGACACTCTTGTTTATGCTGCAGGAGCCATTCTAAACCTGTTCGGTGATAGATGCCTCCGGAAAAAGTAAGAAAGGAGGAGTGTACTAGAGAATGTAAAATGAAAAATATTTCAAAACTGTTTTCCAAGGGTGACTCATGCAAGCAAGTGTAGATTCAGAGGAGCCTAAGGTACAGTGAAAGAAGCCAAAGAGGAGAGAATATGTCTTGGAGTAAGGTCTTAGAGTCATTCAATTCCACAAAGGAGAGGGGTCTGTTACTGTAAGCAGGACCAGTCACACTTCTCTCCAAGTGCAAGGTCTTAGTATACTTGCAAGAGGAATTAAGAAGATGTTCTTTGAATTTTTAGCAGGTTGTCTAAAAACTCAGAACACAGATGCCACAACTGCGTCCTTATTCCTCCACCTCTCCTCACTATTTCCCAACTGGTCAGCATCCATTCTCTCTTCGTGTACTTTTTCATTCTCCCCTTTCTCCTCTGTCCTTCTCTTTTTTGGCTTCTCTCTTCTCCAGACAGTCCACATAGAATACGGCAGATTGCTGAGTGTGTAAGAAATGAAAATTAATGAAATGGACCAATGCTGCAACTCAGAGCATTTTATGACCCTAGGAGCTGAAACACTGACTCCTTTGGGTGGGCACAGCTGTGTCTATGATTCTTTGTATTTGTTTCTAGAAAATTGTATATTGGCCTTTTTTTATGGAAAAGGATGAATCCTGACATGTATGCACCTTTAAATGACTCTACAAACTTACTTTTAAAAAAAAAGATTTTACATATTTTTATTTGAAAAGAGAGAGGAGAGGCAGAGAGAGATTCACTCCCCCAGTTGGCCTCAACAGCCAGAGCTGTGCCGATCTAAAGTCAGGAGCTTCTTCCAGGTCTCCCACACAGGTGCAGTGGCCCAAGGACTTGGGCCATCTTCTGCTTTCCCAGGCCACATCAGAGAGCAGGATTGGAAGTGTAGCAGCCAGGACTCGAACTGGTGCCCATATGGGATACCAGCACTGCAGGCCACAGCTTTACCCACTACACCACAGCACCAGCCCCAAAACTTACTTTTTCTAATACCACCTTCCCTCTACACCCCTCCCAAGTAGCAGAAACAAATCTGTGTTTATCAAATATTATTATTTCACTTTCTTCTTCCCAGGCACTTGGAATATATGAGGGACTTCAAAAAGTTTGTGGAAATGGAATTCAATACAAAAGTATTAGTTCAATTCAATTTTAGAAACTAACCCTAGAATACCAAACCACAGTAAATTGTGTATTATAAAAATTTTAGAGAATCATGTGTTTTTGAGTTGGGAAGTCATCTGATGTGTTTGATGACAGCAGTTTCTTAAGAACAATAAATTGGGCCTGGCACTATAGCATAGAGGGTTAAGCCGCCATGTGCAATGCCAACATCCCATATGGGCACTGGTTCAAGTCCTGACTGTTCCACTTATGATCCAGCTCCCTGCTAATGGCCTGGGAAAAGCAGCAGAAGATGGCCCAAGTGCTTAGGCCCCTGCCACCCACATGGAAGGCCTGGAAAAAGCTCCTGGCTCCTGCCTTTGGGCTG